TGTACTCGCTGCAGCCACAAACTCCTGGGCTCGGGCAATCCACCTGCCTCAGCCTCCCCAGTGGCTGGAACTGCAGGTGAATGCCACCATGCCCTGCCCTGCTAATTTTTAAAAATTTTTTGTAGAGACAGGGTCTTGCTATGTTGCTTAAGCTGATCTCAAACTCCTGGCCTGTAGTGATCCTCCCTCCTCCACCTCCCAAAGTACTAGGTTTACAGGCATGAGCCACCATGCCTGGCCCCATAGAAATATTTTAAAGAGGATGTTAGAGAATACATTTTCAAAGTGCTTTTTTAATTGGTTCTGGGTCAAGAGAAGAAGTTGTCGTAAATATTGCAATGGTGATTTATTACTGCCCTGTGTGTAACCCTGCGGCAGTAAGATATGTGGTCACGGTGACCATTTGGTGCTGGGGACGTGATACGCAACCACGCAATGGGCTGTGTCCCCCCTCTGTGCTGAGCAGCCGCAAATGGACTCACACTTTGCCTATCATCACAGTGTCACTCTTCTGAGTACGCCCTCCCCACAAACATCGTGTGAATTTCTCATGGGTAACATTTCATATTTAATCACTGAATCACCGTATTTAATATCATTGGGAGAGACCACGTATTTGAGAGAGCAGCTGCTTTTTCAGCCAACTCACTTTACAGCTGATCCATCTTATGGTGTTGTCTAACAAAGCAGTGTCATGTTCAGTACTTAGCCTTTAAACCTTCTGCTTTTACACTCATAAATTTTTATCACCCTTGTTTAAATAAGTGTGAGTGAAAGTTATCCCTGTACCTTTTTCTTTAAGAAAAAAAAGTAAATTTCTATAATTTTCTTTGCTATTTCCTCTTAGCCTTACTGAAGGGATGTCAGCTACTGTGCATGAGGTTGTTGCCTTTATTGTAGATACTCTTCCTGAGTCTCATTGCCTCATTCAGGGTCATCCCCATTTAAGGAACAAAAGCAATTCAGTCAAAAATGATTTTACAATTTTTGATGTTGCATAATAATTTTTATAGTCCCTTGAAAGGATTCCTTTTCGTAACATAAAATTATTGGACCAGACTTTGTTTTTGAGTGCTTTTGGTGGGTTTTCTTAATAAGCCAGGTCATTTTTAGTGCTAGTTGTAGACATTTTATTTTTAAATCTTTAGAGCCCTGACATAGTTGGTCAAGTCTAATTGACCTAGACTTTGGGGAAAATGTCACTGGATAATTCACTGTCTGTTTAAATTTAACAAATAATGATATCTGAATTAATTTATGGAAGTTATACTATCTGTTGGTTTATTTGAAAGCTTTGATAACCTAGGAAGAGCTAGCACTTTGATTTATAGCATTTGTAAATAACATCATTTAAACTGCCAGATGTGCCATAAAACATATTCTTAAATTCTACACTTTATCAGCAAATTTTGCATTTAATAGAGAAAAGCATAACCCAGAAAGAGTGAGAGAAAGAGTTGCTCTTTCTGCAGTTCTTTTGGGCCCTGCCAGATGTGCTGGTGTGGGGGAGGTGACATGTCAGGTTGACAGTCTCTCTCCCCTCTCTAGTTCGAGGGAGATGATAATGAGCATAGAATGGCCGCAGAGAAGCAGGCCAAGGGATACAGCTAATCTGCCATCTAAATAATCTGCCCCGTTGGGTAACTCAGGCTGATACTGAAGTCATGGAAACCCCATCTCCATCTGTGAGAGCACTGGAAGACTGTGTCCTCACTCTCTGTCCCAGTGCCGTGTCCAAACCCTAGCCTCAGTTTGTCGAATTCAGTGGAAGCCAACCAGCAGTCTGTCAGTGCCCGAGTGGAAGTGAGCGTGTCCCTGCGCTTACAGAGGGCTGGGTTCTGCAGGCATTTACAGACAGGCTTCAGAGGCAGTGAGGGGGAAGGCCAGGCTGAGGAAGCCACAAAACCAGGACCCTAACTCCTGGAGAATGCTTTGCATTGAGGTCCAGAGGCAGCTGTCCTTCTACTCGGGACAGCATAGGCAACACCAACATAATGCCTTTTCCCAGCCAGCCCTGGAGCAGAGGTGGGTGAGGGGAGGAAAGGCTGGGAGGGGCCTGGGCTCCAGGGCCCTACTGGAGGATGAGCTGTGAGCAGCCCAGAGCAGCAGCACCGTTGCACTCTGATTGGGAGGCTCTGCGGGCCCGTTTCTTGCGTCAGGAGAAGACTGGAGGGGAAATAGCCTTCTCCTGCTGTGACCCTGGGGAAGTACCTGGTGCTGGGGACGAAGGGAGGTCAGGTAGCTCCCATTCATTAGTGGTCTTCTGCAGGTCAGGGGCTGTTCTATATGTATTCGATCTTCACATCTGCTGTGTGAAATAGAGATAAGGAGATTCATTAGGGCCTGGCGCAAGTTAGGTCTAGAGCCCACGGCCCCGTTTCCCACTCAGCTGCATCTCTTGGTAAGCCCCGGTCCAAGCGGATCACACAAGGATTCCCGTGATTGTCGTCTGATTTGTGTTAAGATCAGAGAAGTCATCGACAGAACTCGAATATTCACTAGAGCACAGCAGGGGAGGACTTGGGGGCATCTGTATTTACGTTCCGTGCCTTGAACTTAGGTAGAGCTACTAATGTCCAAGATTCAAAATCCTTATCTAGACTGGGTCAGATTTAGTGACAGTAAGTTTAGAAAAATAATTGATTTCAGAAATTCGGTCAACTGGTGTACTTGGAGCTGAGAACAGGGATCTGTATGTGAAACATCCTTTCTCTCCTGTCTTAGTTAAACCAAATAAGGCTCATAGTGATAGACAGCTTGTCCCAGGAGCCAAAGCCCTTCAGGTGACTAGATTTTAAATCCGGGAATGAGGTGGTCCTCCATCGTCAAGTAGTCAAACTCATCCCTTCTTGTTAAGGCAAAGGCAAAGAGCATCTTAAACTTTCTAAGCTAGAAAAAAATTAATGAAAATAATCAAAGACAAGAATTTAGATGAGGTTCTAAAAACAAGATTATAAATGTCAACCTAACCGCATGAAACAGACCACGGTTAGTACTAAGAGCTTCTTTGGGTCCTACTGTTACCTGTACAAAGCCTACAGCACAGAGGGCATCTTCTGTTGTTTCCAGAACGAAGAGTGGGAAGGTGTCTGGCCCTGCAGCACATCTGCCCTGCCGGTCCCAAGCAGGGTAGCGCCTACCAGAGAAGACGGGCGAGAGGGAGTGGGGGGTGGAACAGAGGTGAAGCTTCCCCTAAAAGGCTGAAATGAAAGGGCCGAGGCCCTGCCAACTTGAACGTTCCTGGGTCGAGTTTGAGGGGCGGAGACTTGAGCATGAATAATGGGGATGGGGTTTCTTACCCACCCACAGGTCCTCTGGGCCATCCGGTCTTCCCGAGGACATTGCAGAGAGCCAGGCAATTCTACTCAATGCCAGGGGCCCCTCCCCTGTGCCCCCTCGCCCTCGCCACCCTCACAGGCTGGGGGATTGGAGGGTCACCCTGTGGGTTTTGTGCATCTCTGCCAGGTCTTTGGTTCTGCCCGAGACTATTTTGTATGATGCGAGTTCATGACAAAAGCTATAACAGCCCTAATTCTGCTGTCCCAGATTTCAGTGTGCTCTCTCTGAAAGAATCAACCTTTAAAGTCCAATTTAAAAAGCCTTTTTATCACAGCTGCAACTTTCATCTTTTTGCAAAATCAATGATCTTAAATTTTTATTTATTAGTTTTCAAATAACCATTTGTAGAATTTTTCCAAAAAATTATTTCTCTTGTCTTTTTGAGAAAAGCATTCCAGTTGAACCACGGATATTGTCGTACTGTAGAGCACGGGGACCAGGGACGAGGAGGGAACTGAAAAGCGAGAGAGCCCTGGCTCCTGCCACTCCCAGCCAACTCGGGCAAGTCACCTGGTCTCTCCAAACCTCACGTACCTCGTATGTAAGGGGGGAGCCAATTCCCCGTGTGTAAGGAGTTGGAAGGAGTAAATGAAATAATCCCCGTTAGGACACAGTGCCTGGCAAATCATGTCCGGTATAGTAAAAGCAATAATTGTTGCTGTTTTTGTTTCTATTACAATTCTTAGGCAGTGAACGTGCACTGACAAGGTATCTGAATTCAGACCAATTAAAGAGTTAGTTAATCTAATACGGCAAAAATTCAGACTGCATATTTCACTTTATTTTTTCCTGATGCTGTCTTCCCATCCCACTGGCCTTGAGCAGTCTAGAGCTACAAGGAGGAGGATGGCAGCACACTGAAATCCCGGGTGAGATTGCTTTCCAGTTTCTCCACTGCTCATCACGGTTCGTACAGATCGGAGTTTGCACTGTAGTTCCAGCCCCTTGCAGATTAGGAGCTGTCTGTTCTCAAGACACAGTAAGTGGGACCGACCACCCCCAGGGCCGCCAGAGGCAGTTGGCCTTCGGACAGTGGCTGGTGTGCTCAGGGGAAAGCAAATGAGCCTGCCCCTCGTGTCAGCCAGCGCGCCGGGCTGCAGCTGCCCTCACGCCTCCTGCCCCAGCAGCCACCGCTCCAGCCGCAAGAGGAGCTGCCCAGAAGCACTTGGCAGCACCCAGCTCGGCCCAGCAAGTGTCAGACAAGGGACGACTTCCTGCTTCTCTGCGTGGGCCCCCCCAGCACACCCAGTTCCTGAACCCCCTTCTGGGCCAACTCCCTTTCCCTCTCCTCTACTTCGGAAGCAGCACTCACGGGCCCTCTGACCCTGCCACACACCCGGACTGCCACACCTGGAAAGTTTAAACCTGTGCCCACTCCCACCTTCTGTCTTCCACCCCGGCAAGCTCTGGCTCTTAACACGGCTCTGCCAGCCCACCATTCCCCCTTTTTTAAAGCCAATTTCGGCTTCACTTTCTTTGCTCTCCAGCCTGCACCTCAATACCAGTCGCTCCAAAAAGACTTTCACCAACACACTGATCTTC